AACCTAGCAGCAGTCGCAGATAACGTCATGGACGGCGTCATGCGGCCTTCCTATGCCGCCACCGCTACCTATGCCTTGCCAGCGCCAACATCTACGGCCGCCCTTGACTTGGCCCTGTTGAGGGCTGAGGTGGCTAAAATAAAGGCTACCGTGGACCAGATCGATCAGCAGAGGTCGCGGTCTCGCGCCCCTGATGACAACCGGCGTCGTTCGCAGTAAGGCGCCGTAGCGGTTCCCGCCGGCCCCGGGTGGAGAACTACTTATGCTTCTACCATTACCGGTTCCGAGAAAAGGCCAACAGGTGTACGAAGCCGTGCGCGTGGAAACCAACACAGCCGGAAAACTGAGCGGCGAAGTACAGTCTGAGGATCTTCAGGTCTGTACCTTTTTTCCATTCAATCGTTTGTGTGTGTCAGACAGTAACTCTGGGCTTAGATTTTTAGTCGACACCGGTGCCAATGTGTCTGTTTTACCAGCCGTGAGAAAAGTTCGTGTAAATCAGTGTAGTGAATATAAATTATACGTAGCTAACGGTAGTGAAATCGCAACTTACGGTACCAAGATACTAGTGTTAAACTTAAACTTACGTCGACCTTATCGTTGGGAATTTGTTGTAGCAGATGGCAAACAACCAATTTTGGACGCCGATTTTTTAGCGTACCACAAATTATTAGTTGACTTAAACGCGCGTAAATTAATAGATAAAACTACAGAATTGAATGTTTCGGCATCTGTTGTCAATGTATCTCAACCTAGTATTAAAACTATTGATTTAAATCATCCGTATCAGGATTTACTGTTAAAGTACCCGGACATCTCTAAACCAGCGTCATTCCGAGAAACTGAGAAACACGAAATTGTCCACTATATCGAGACCTCTGGCCCGCCCGTGCATGCGAAAGAGCGCCCGTTGCCACCTAACAGATATAAAAAAGTTAAAGAAGAATTTCGCATCATGCAGAAACTGGGCATCTGTCGTCCTTCGAAGAGCGCGTGGGCTAGTCCACTCCATGTAGTTCCTAAAAAGAATGGAGATATATGCGCAGAGCAGCACAAACCTTCCAGCGTTTTATGAACTCCATTTTACAAGGTCTTGATTTTGTCTTTTGTTATTTTGACGATTTACTTATAGCTAGTGACAACGAAGTTCCACACAGGCAACATTTAGAGATTATTATTAAAAGGTTTAATAAATATGGAATTTCAATTAACTTGGCAAAATGTCGTTTCGGACAAACTAAACTAGAATTTTTGGGACGCGAGATTAGTACCGACGGCGTCAGGCCGTTGCAAGATAAGGTTCAGGCAATTGTGGAATTACCGAAGCCGAAAACTGTTGCAGAGCTAAGACGTTTTCTCGGTATGGTCAATTTTTATCGAGCTCATCTTCGCAACGCTACTTTATATCTAACAGAATTAAATAAATATCTTAAAAGCTCAAAGAAAAATGATAAGACTCCCATCGTCTGGACGGATAGTGCGAACGAAGCATATACGCAATGTAAGGCAAGTCTCACACAGACCGCTACATTGACGTACCCTAGAGTAGGTTCCGCACTTGCTATAATGACTGTGAATGAAAATAATGAATGTGTTTTGCACAGACGGTCCTTGAGCTCCTGGAATGCGATATTACAACTTTCATCCCAGCAGAAATGTCGCTTCTCCTCGGTTAGCTTATGCAGAGGTTTGGCTATATCTGTAAAGTTCTTCACAAATCGCCGGTAATAGGAGCACAAACCCAAAAATGCTCTAACCTGCGTCTTGTCTTTTGGAACCGGCCAATCCTTTACAGCTGCGATTTTCTCTGGATCCGTGCGGATACCTTCTTCCGACACTACATACCCCAAAAAGTTGACTTGCCGTTTGAATAGTGAACATTTCTTCGGACTCAGCTTGAGATTGGCACTCTGAATCTTCATGAGCACGCGTCCCAGGTTTTCAAGGTGTTCCTCAAACGTACGGCCCACGATGATGATGTCATCCAAGTAGACCAGACAGGCATCGCCAATTAGCCCGGTAAGTACAAGTTCCATCAGCCTTTCAAACGTTGCTGGAGCATTGCACAACCCAAACGGCATTACTTTGAATTGCCACAGACCCTTTCCCGTCGAGAACGCAGTTTTCTCCTTGTCCTTAGGGTCAATTTCAACTTGCCAATAGCCACTTTTTAGATCCAGCGTGCTAAACCATTTTACTCCTGTAAGCATGTCCAGCGTGTCATCAATTCTTGGCAAGGGATAGCTGTCCTTCTTTGTAACGTCGTTCAGACGGCGGTAATCAACACAGAACCGCATGCTGCCATCCTTCTTCTTTACCAGCACCACGGGTGAACACCATGGACTAGATGAAGGTTCAATAACACCATCCTTCACCATTCCCTCAATCATGGTTTCCACTTCCTTTTCACGTGCTACCGGCAATCTTCTTGGCCGCTGACGGATAGGCAATTCATCTCTTGTGTTTATTTTGTGTTGAACTAAGCCAGTCTTTCCTATGTCAGCATCGTTTGACGAGAATACATCGGCGTACTTGAGTAACAAGTTCTTCGCCTTGACCAATTCGTTCGGGGGGAGAACACTGCGACAGTCTTCCAAAAGTGTGGTCACTCTCGTTTCTGAATACTTGCTGGGGGTCCCACTCGATATATATTGGCACCGAGGTAACCAATCCACTTCCTCACAAGTGCCAACCAGTGTTCCTTTTTCTATAATCTGTTCCCGGTCGCAAAGGTTCAGCACACGTATTCTTGAGATGTCAGTGATTCTGACCAAGGTTCGAGCTACATTCCATGGAAGGTAATTGTTTACCCTTTCCACAAGTACACAACGGTGAGCTTGCCCAGCGTTTCGGAGAAGACTAACCGGAACAATCGTTTCCGATCTCGGCGGAAGAACAATCTTCTTAATGCTGTACACGTTCCCTGGTAACGCACCTTCCATAAAAAGTTCCTCCTGTCCACATTTCAAAACACATTGCTTAACGTCGATCTCACAACAATTATTCCTCATAAAGTCTAGGCCTAGGATGCAGTCGTCCATTATATCAGCCACGATGACATTATGCAGGTAGATCACGTTGCCAAGCTTCAACTCCATCTCCTTCTCTCCACGGACGGGTATACGCTGACCGGTGGCTGTTACCAAATTAATGCGTTCTCGGTTGTATGCGGAGTCCCCAAGGAACTGACTTATAAGTTGGGAACTAACAACCGTACGAGAGGCTCCAGTGTCTATGGTCAGTTTACACGGCGTTCCGTTGACCTCGCCCTTGATGATTAGACTGTTCCCATCATGGTTTTGTGAGATCGAGATCCTTGGGGCTCTTTTAACATCAGCCAGCACCCGCCCCGCAGTTCTGGCTTTTACTCGTTTTCCTGCTGCTGCTGGGCGGTGCTGTTGGCCGCACTACCCTCCTGAGATCGTTCAACTTCCCTTTCTAGGGTTCGCTTAGGGCAGCTGGATCGAAGATGGCCCTTTTCCCCATAGCCATAGCACCTAGGGCTGTATCCTTTGTTGCGGTCGCGAACTGTAGCTGCTGCAACCTCCCTGACGCGATGGGAACGATGATCCTGCCGCACGGCTTCCACCTCCAGTGCATGGGCCAAGGCGTCCTTAAGCGTCTCGTGGTGCCCGAACCTCACAGCAGCTCTGACTTCCATGTCGCGGATGCCGTCGATGAATGTCTGCACCAGGTTCCCTTCAATGAGCGCAGGTACAGACTGGTATGCTTTTTGAACCATCTTCTCCACCTCAAGGGCCCACTGCTGCAGGTTTTCGTTGTTGCGTTGCACACGATCTTTAAGCTGCGCGCGAAAGACGTGTTCCAGGTGAGCGTCACCATATCTCGCCTCCAATGCCTCAAGGAGCTGCTCGTAGGTCACTTTCTTACCGAGAGCTTCCAACACGGTTAAGGCTTGGTCGCGCAGGCCTAAGGTGAGTGCAGTCATGGCCTGGCTTATATTCCAGCCGTTTGCCTCCATGACGGCTTCGAACTGGATTTTATAGGCCGACCAGGAAGAAGTCCCGTCGAACAGCGGCACTTTGAATCCACGTAGCGAAGGTGCTGTAGCTACTACGGATGCTGTAGTTCCATCCCCAAGTTTGAGGTCGTTCAGCATTTTCTTCACGTCAGCCATCACGTTGTCAACCCGATTGTTCACATGGTTGATTCGGGTTTCATGTTCTTCGATTCGGGTTTCAGCTTCCAACAGGCGGTTGTCATGTTGAGCAACCCTATCCTTCACCTCCCTTATGTCTTTCGCAAAGGTAGCGTGAAGGTCCTTCATGAGGAGCATCTGCTTCTCCTCTCGGCGAGCTTGCTCCTCCTGTCGGCGAGCCTGCTCCTGCAGCATCACCATCAGAGCACCTAAGTCAGGTGCTGCAGATGTAGGAGCTACCGACGGGCCTGCAGCCGGTGGCTGGCCCTCCGACGTCTGCGGCGTTGCACCACCAAATCTTCGTTGGTCCGTCTCCTGCTGGCGTTGACTTCGGGTACGGACACCCTCCGTTTCCTCCTCAGGTAAAATCGGCATGATTTTATCCCACTTCTGACATCAATTGTTACGAGCTTGAGGTTCGTGACAATAAAAATTGCCGATAAAATTACCTAAATTAACACTTTAATTTACTTACACAAATTAAAACTTAAAACACTAATAATTAAGCACACTAATTCACTTTATTCCGCTCCGAAGCTTCGCTTGTCACGCCAAATCCAATACTTCCTCGATCGCATCTTGCAGCGCCTATTTATATAAATTAGCAAAGAAATATCCAGAATGTTCAAGTAAACACGCGCAAGGTACCGAGAGTTCGAGTTTTAAACTTCAAAAAGTTTAGTTCCTCGGTTCGAGACTAGATGGCGCTAGTGCCGTCGACTTGAGCGCGTAACACTATTATCACTATACGTTATACGCTATCGCAATAACGGTTCTAAAACTGCATTGCGATCTAAAAAATATTACATAAGCGTTACATCGGATACTTAAGTAGGTTAGAATGGTTGCTAACGTGTGTAAACAAAGATCTTATGCGTTTGAATCGGACTCATAATACCGTGATATTCATTTCAAGTCGCGACATCTATTGGCAATGAGTAAAGCGTCAAAAAATAATCCACTTCTTTCTTGTTTTCGGTGTATTTGAAAGTTATAAAATCTCCGTCTGTGGCTGAATCGTTTGTGATTAAACTGTACCAGCAGATTACTCGGTAAACTCTCAAACAAAAAAATCCCGTATGGCAACTTCAGCTTATAATAATTTCACATGCTTTAGTTCATGGCCTCTATGACCTCTATGGCCTCTTTAAAATTACTTCAAGAAATTGACTAAAGTGGGGGTTCTGCATCACTTCACTTAGCTGCGCTCAGTTCGTGCTGCAGAAGCCCCCAATTCTATCCACCTATTGCCCGAAATGACGGTTCGAACTGCAAAATCTATATAGTTAGCCTAAAGTAAGTACATAGAATTCAATCTTTCCATCATAGCAAGTTTTTAGTGCCTTAGATTTCACTAATTGTTATATTGTATTATATATATGTATATATGTTGTATATATATATATATATATATATATATATATATATATATATATATAATTTTTTTATCCTCTCTATTTGATTATTGCTGCACCGCCTCCAAAATGTCTATCTCTGTTTAGCCTAATGGTTGACTGGGAGAGAATGCCCTATGGCATTAAGTCCGCCATATGTACCATAAGGAGGTATAATAACAAAAAGACAAAGATACAGAGAGAACATAAACAAATAAAGAATGTACGAAAGGCGGCCTAGTATATGTTTAAGTGTTAATTATTTAATCTATAAAATGTATAATTTACTGACTATTGCCTTGCCTATTGACTAAGAGATTATCAAATCGTGTATTTCTTTTTACAGGAACACTTCTTATTGCAATACAACGATTCTATCGTCGAACAAGACCCACCTACCCCAGGCCGATCTGATGTCGAAAGAGATACACCAACCCTAGGCCGTTCATATGTCGAAAGAGATACACCAACCCCAAGCACATCTGATGTCGAAAGAGATACACCAACCCCAGGCCGATCTGATGTCGAAAGAGATACACCAACACCAGGCCGATCTGATTCTGAAAGAGGCACGCTACGACCAAATCGTTCAAAATCCACGAAGAATGCGTATGAAGAGGCACTTTAAAGTGTGAATGAGCATTTTAAACGTCCGAGGTTTCCGGGAAATCGTTTTGAAGTATATGGACGAAGTGTAGGCACGAAATTACAAGAATTCGGAAACAGTAGAGAATCATTGCAGAAAAAATTATTAATGAGACATTGTCCTTAGCCGAAATAAGTGATTTAACTACCTCACATACTGTCAAAACCAGAGACTTTATAAACACATTTTTCCCCTCAGCCAGACATTCAAACATCATCTAATCAACTATGCACTGAAACCTTTTCCACTCAGCCACTGATTCAAGCATCATTTAATCAACCAAACGTTCAAACTGTCTCAACTCAACCAGACACCGTATCAACCACATGCCCTGGCTCACGATTCTCTACGGTAGCTACATTTATAAATAGTTTTGGTGTTGATTGATTTGTATAGTTTTATTAAAATTGCATTTCTTCATTCTTAAATCATCATTTTCGATCACTATTTCATTCGTAAGATTTAATAAATAAAAACTACATACGATCACAATTGTGTTTTCTTCATAGCAACAACATCATCAAAACTGTTTTATAATAGGTAATGTAGTTTCCTAGATAATATACAGGTGAAACTCCTTCCAAAAGCTTATGTTACTTTTTCGTTAAATTGAAGAAAAGCTTTTGTAACTAGTTTTACCTCTTTAAAAAATCTTTACCATTTTATTTAGGGAACTGCCAGAAATTTTTAGTTTATTCAAAAACTATAAGCAAAAAAAACCCAAACATTTATTAAAGTTAAACAGATTTCTTTGCTACTATTTTATTGTTATTATTGTATTTTTATATATTACGCAAAACTTACCTTTAAGTAATCTTTCTGTAAAACTTTTTACAAAGCATCACAATTTCCAGGAATGATTTGACTGAGAGCCCGTTTTGATATCAACGTAGAAAACTTCATACATTCGTACGAGCGACCTGTAGCTAAAAACTTCAGAGTTGCAGACAATCTTTCATGAGAACTTATTGCTTCTCTCATCACGGTATTTCTTTTTTGTATTTGCTTGTAACTAAAAACAGGAGGTGTAGGGACACTATTTTACTCCTCAGACGTCCGGACGGTATGGAAGGCACAACGCCCACCATCAACGCCGAGGACCTAAAGGCCAAACACCCGGCGTGGGGATGTGGAGTGATCAATCCGTCGGGTCAAGATCTATACTAAGACGCAGAGAGGAACAAATATAACGTTTTAAGTCCAGACGAGTCTACACACGTTCCGACATACACACGGAAACGTCAGGATTTACTGGACATCGTGCTCTCTAGGAATGTCAACTGCCCGATAGTGGTAGAGGTGCTGTACGACCTGAGTACACAGCACCTTCCGATTCAGATTACCCTTGGCCTCAAGGGGTTGACTACGCCACCCAGAGCCTTTAAGACACGAGTTGTCTGGAGGCTCTACCATCAAGACCTGCAGGAAAGACCTCCAGTCCAGACACCTTTAAGTACAACGAACGACGTCGAGGCCGCTACAACAAGATTAACCACGACCATCCAGGTCCCTCAATGCGGCTTTTACGATCGTCCCGATTTCAACAAGAAGAGACGATCTGCAGCGGGAGATATGTGTGCAGATCAAACGTAAGAGAGCGCTAAGAAAGCTTTGGGCGCATACTCACTGCCCGAGAATCAAACCACAGCTCAACACTCTAACGGATGAACTGTCGGGTGCAATCGAGGTCCACAGAGAAGAGGCCTGGAGCGGCGCATCTGGAAGGTAGACGAGTACAAAACGTCGCTCAAAAAATGAACCGAGAGTTAAATAAAACTAGTCCTCCCGTTTGTCCGCTGACCAACAACGCGAGCGAACGTTGTTACGATGCCAAGGGTAGAGCGGATATCCTAGTAAAGTACTTCGAGGAGCAATTAATGTTGAACCCAGCAAGTGCAGAGTTCATGGAGCTTCATGCCCGGAAGGAAAGCTACTCTACTTGACTCTACAATAGGATACTGCGGACATCCCACTTCCCAGATGTTTGGAAGAAAGGCAAAGTCATCGTCTTGCCGAAACCTGGGAAGGCCAGGCGTAGAGCTGCCAGCTACTGGCCGATCACGCTACTACCGCACATAGCTAAACTGCTAGATAGACTGTTGCTAAGGCGCTTCCGCCCGTGCCAACTTCTGGCGGAGCAGCACGGATTCAGGAAGGATCACTCAACAGCCACACAGCTGACCAGAGTGCTGCACCTACTTGCGGCCGAGTATAACCGCGGCCACATTTCGTTGGGCGTCTTTCTCGACATAGATAAGGTGTTCGACAGGGTGTGACATTCCAGATTACTCTATAAATTGGAAGAAGAGACCAGTATCCCTCCTGCTACGTTGCGGCTAGTGGCGTCATTCCTCGCAGACAGGAAGTTCTACGTCTGCGTAGAGGATGTTGTGACATCAGGGCAGCTGTTTGTCTCCAGTTCTGTACGCGGCTTTTACCAATGACGCGGGAAACGCGGTTTTTCCACCTTTAAAGAAAACCATACACGATACATGAACAGTGTGGTGGTAATAAATGATCCTTAATCAATTTTACATAGGTATATTCGTGGCAGTTTCGGTGCAATCTGCCACGAAATATGAACATTTTTATCACTTATCGATTTTTTTGCTCAAAATTAAGTTTCACCAAAAATTTAAAATTTTACCGCTAAGATATGTATGACTAATGTAAAAAATAGAATATGCTGTTTAAAAGGAGGTGTTATTTATTTCTAAACTACTAACACTACTATGCAATTTCAAAAACTTATTTCATTTTGCCATTCAGTAAAAAGCAAAAATTTGTATTTTAGAAAAAATCTTGATGGAGTAGAGATACCTTATCTTACCTTACCTAACCTAACCTGACAATTATAATCACTTTTAAGACAATAAGTTAATAATGTACCAAATCTGAAATAGCAAGTGTAAAACTATAAAGGAAGGGTAAAACCACTTCCCCACCGAACGGGTTCCCGCCTTGTCGTGGCGGGGGGCTTAGAAGCCGTGGCTTGGTCACCCACGGCGAAACAAAGAGGAACCCATATGGCTGGTCCGAGGTGGAGGGCCGGCCCGAGGTGGCCACTCCGAGTGGGCTTGGGAAGCCCACTTCGGATGTGTGTTGGTGGACTGCGGTGAGAGGTGTGTCCTCCCCACCTACCGCTGCAGCCGAGGTGGAGTCGCGGAGGAAGAGGAGTGTTGGTATGGCGATGCGCCACTCGCCCTATCCTCCGCGACTCAAACGGGGCCGCACCGTTGATGCGGTGGTGATGGGGCTGCGGGGGGAGAGGATTGTCGGTATTGCGAGGCGCCGCTCTCCCTATCCTCCGCAGCCGAATCGGTTGGCGGCGGAGCCATAGACCAGATCCGCCGCTGGGGTCGGGAAGGCTAGTACTTCTAAGTGCTCGTTTTTCCTGGCCCCATGGCCTTCGCGCATCGGACGCGGGGGCGTCTGTTGCGCAGATGTAATTGGAGGCCGTGGAGGAAGGCGTGCCATGTGTTCTGGTGCGCCTTACTTGGGAAGGAGAACGGGGAGGAATATTCCTCTCCCGATGAGGTGCTGCCATGGGGCGGCAGTCGCTGGTGGGGCCGCGGATATGTGCGAAAGCGTTCCCGTTGCCCTGCCGATATGCGACGAAGGTGGAACACCATGGGGTTTTAGTCGGTGCGAGTCCGACATAACCCGTCTTTGCCCCCGCGAGGCGGGTATGCGTAGGCATTTCCCCATGTTAAAAAAAAAAAAAAAAAAAAAAGGTAAAACCACTTGCATTACAAAGAAAAAATACCTTTGATGAAAAACTTTACTTTCAATGTGTTTAAGCATTAAATAGGTGACATCAAACAATACCTAACTTGACCTAACCTATCTTCTTCTTATTATTATGCCCAATAATTACCGGACATTATTCATAATGCCCATCAATTTAATTTTTTCCTAAGTTTAATCACCTTGCCTATTGGACATATACAACATGTAACAAAAACCCTGTGGTTCCCGTTAACTATAATAATATATAATTTATTAAAAAAACACACACATGGAATATATATTTATTGGAATATATATTTATTATTTATATTGGACGGGCATTATTAATAACGCTCTAATCATCTCTAGGTCCTTAACATATTATATAAATACCTCTAAATCGTTAGTGTAGAAAATATTATGAAAATAACAAAATAACAAACATTTGTTCAATTACTACGCATTGGTGATAATGAGGTTTCTACGTATTATGGATGACTGCCACGGAATTACTAAAAGGTTTGTGTTAATGATGTCTTAATCTAGTTGCCTTTTTATTTAACTATGATTAATGAGCACTTCGTTGTACATTAATATTGTACGGTAATGTAGTAATTCATGTTAATTTATAGCAGTTTAACTTCATAGCTCAAACATGTTAGTCGTTTTTTTGATATGTTTTGCATCGTATTTATGCCGAAGCCAGGAATTATTAATTAAGGATAATCAGGTCTTGACGGCATGCATTCGGAATGTCATTACATATTCGTTTAAAAAAGGATCACAAGTAACGTATGTTGATATAGATTTTAATGACAATGATATCATTAAAGCAGTTCACGAAATGAATTTTGTGTCTGTGATAACAAGAACCACAAGGAAAAAAGTAATATTTCAAAATGAAGCATACTTGTTAATTGCCAAAAATTTTCAAGTCTATAAAGAAAGATTTGAGTTTCTTATGAAAGAAAAGGGTTGGAAGCCAGATGTATACTTTCTTATTGTTTTTATAAAACTCGACGTATCACAACTTAATGACGTATTTAGAATACTTCTGCATCACCATATTTTTCAAGCTGTTGTTATAAATGGAACCAATAGTGCAGACGTCTTCACTTACAATCCATTTGAAAACTATGGTTGCGGATCCGTTTTCAATAGAATTATATCACATGGTAAGTGCTTTGAAGCAAATATCACACAATTATACTTTAATAAACTCATAACTGGACTCAAAAAGTGCAGGTTCAGAG